CCCCGCCCCGCCCCGCCCCGCGCAGAAAGTTGGCCGGTGGTTTTGCTGTCTGGCCGTAATTACGGCAGCCAGTGGATCGGAGCACGCATGGGACTGGGCGTGGCGGGGCGTGGCGGGGCGTGGGGCTGCAGGCTGATTTCGCACCGCGTCTCGCCGCTCTATCTCTGTCTTTCGCGTCTTCGCGGAAATGAGTGCGAGTGAGACAGAGCGACGCTATCTCGGAATCGCTCTGCTGGGCGTGGCCGGCGTGGCCGGCGTGGCAGCGCACTGCAGCAGAGCCTCGTCTCCTCTCGTGACTCGCCGCTGTTTAATTATTTTGTTACGTCAAATCGCTCGTTCCGCGGCCCGTCTCACCGCGGCAGTGACAACAGGCAAGCTCTTCGAGCGGCGCGCGCGCAAGTAATGAGTCAACTTTTAGAGACGTGAGAAATTGGCGAAGCGAAGCGCTGGCGCCGCTCCCGCAGAAAAATCTAGACCTGAACAAAAGGCAAAAACTTCCTTCGACTTACGTTCATTAATTCGTCCAACAATGTTGAATGTCCGTGGGAGAAATATGAGGCCTGCTGACTTCATACGTTGTTTTCGTGCAGCGACATACTCAGCCAACTAAATTTTCTGTTAACCAACTCTTAAAAAACGTTTTCTAAAATTATTTTTAAATTTTTCACTCTCTTTTTGTGCGAGTAGCGGAAGGACGTGGCCGGCGAGTGGTGCAGAAATGCGAGGTATGCGCCTTGACGCCCGCCTCGCCTCGCCTCGCCTCGCCTCGCCTCGCCTCGCCCGGCCGGCCGACCGACCCGTCGGGGTGCCGCGCCATGCCGCGCCATGCCGCGCTGCGTGCGCCGGGCTGGATGCCGGAGAGGAAGTCGACTGCGACGAGCCAAGAATCATTCTGTCGAGAGGAAAAGCGGCCCCGCTGTCGAAGAATAATGATAACCTTTCCCTCCCTTCTCTAGCCCATTTGTGGGCTCAGTGTTGCCTCACACTACAAAATCCACTGTGCACTCAGTATACATCTATAGGAGTGTACTTGCCAAGTACACATCTATAGGAGTATACTTTCCAAGTACACATCTATAGGAGTATACTTGGGCAAGTATACAGCTATAGATGTGTACTTGGCAAGTACACTCCTATAGATGTATACTAAGTACACAGTGAGTTTTGTAGTGCACCAATAGGCAAAACTGCCACTATGCGTCAGTGTCGAAAGGTTTGCCAACCTTTAGCATGCAATACCAGGCAATATGTTTGCTCTCGTTGCCCCATGGCGCTCTTTGCTGTCTCCTCAGGGGCGATACAGCACAGCGCGCTCTGTGACGAAAGCACTGTTCAGCCTGCTGGCCATCGCCGCGTCGAGGTGGCGTGCCCATGCACTGTACACGTGTTCGGCTGAGGCGGGGCGTCGAGCGGCGTCGAGGCAAGTCCGGGCCGAGGAAGATTTACGCGCAAAGTCCTAAAACGTAATTAGGTCACCATTCCCTCCTTCCGCACAATGAACCTATCGGGCACAGGCAGTCGCTCCCACGGCCCGCCGCGCCGCGCCCCACCCCGCCCCGCCCCGCCCCGCCCCGCCCCGCCCCACCCCGCCCCGCCCCGCCCCGCCCCGCCCCACCCCGCCCCGCCCCGCCCCGTCCCGCCCCACCCCGCCCCAACCCCCGCCTTTCCTCCTCGCGGCTCAGGGCGGCTCAGCCCCGTCCTCGTCACACCCGCGGCTGCACAACGGCCGGCATCTCCGTCGCACCGACGACGCTCACGGCGCTCACGCCGCAGCCGCGCCACGCGGCGCCACGCCACTGGCGGCGACTCGCCGACTCGCTGGAGAGCGGCTCGAGACCATCGGAGCATAAATTGAAAATTGGGAAAGACAGGCAACGACAACGGCGAGGACGCCGACGACGCCGAAGACACCAAAGACGAAGACGACGTCGAGGACGCTGAGGACGCCGAGCACGAGCGGTCGCCGACGATGCAGACGCCGACGACGCCGACGACGACGCCGAGAACGTCGGTGATGCTGAGGTCGCCGATGACACTGGAGGTCGCTGACGACGCCGAGGACGCTGAAACCTAACCATATACTTCTTGCATATAACCACAATTTTACCTCTATATTACGGTAACCCTTACCCTTACCCTTACCTATTGAGGCCTATTGAGGCCAATGGGAGCGCTCCCATTGAAGCGCTCCCGCACGGGAGCGCTCCCAAACCTTTTTTTTACCACTACATCGCTGATATTACCCCTTACTATTACAATATATTACACTGCTTGTAATATGCGAAACTCTCTCGTACACGGCGATGGGGAGTTGGACGTACGGTAATTGACTATTAATCGACATGACGTCATTAGTTGATGATGAGCCGATTCTACAACCACGATGTGTATGCAGGTCGAAGCGATGACCGGCTGGCGAGGGGTGAATGACTCAGCGTTCTGGTGTACACATGAGTACATGAGTACGGGTGAGTACACCTTGCTTTGCTCACAAATTTTGCACTTGTAAACGCCCACGGGCTTTATTTAGCGTTTTAAACGACACCCAACGCCAAATCAAGCGAAAAAGTACAGAATTTCACCCTTATTAAACTTGAGAGTACACTGAGTACGGGCAAATTTGTACACATGAGTACACTAGTGATTCACCCCTCGCCGGCTGGGCCGGTGTGCCATGAGAAATGTATTAGACACGGAGGCTCCACCCGTGACGTCAACAATCTTTGACAATCCTCCATTATTCTTATCGAAGTATTAACCGAGAAATTTGAAAGGGAAAAGAAAAAAAAATTTGAACTCTACACCCCCTCCCCAGTCTTAATGGGGAGGCCTCCTGCTTTACTTCGGTGTTCGGGATGGGAACCGGTGCTATCAGGTACCTGGGGTTAATCCCGTCAGCGACCCAAGCGTTCGCCGGGGGACCCAGTAGGACCCCAAAGCTCAGGCAGTAGTGTGAGAGCACCCAGTACGAAGCTCTTTGAGGGGTGGGACGTAGAGTGAGACGACAGAGAGACAGAGAGAGACTCAGACAGAGAAGAGGTTTGGTGGGAGCTCCTTGTTTTCGTAGGGTTGGTTGTGTACCCCATGGTACCCCCCCTGTCCGGCGCTCCCGTACCGAACATACAGCGTTTTAGGCCAGTTTCAAAGGACTTATCATCGCCTCCCCGACGAATCAAGGACCACCCGCAACCACACACCGGGTGGTCTGGATTGATGGATCAAATACTCCATCGCTCCAGTGCCGAGGTCAACCCGCCGAAGCGGATTGCTTTTTAGACACCCACAGCGGAGTGGCCAGGTGAATGTGACTCTGACCACTACGCTATCACGCTGTACGTCTGGCCGAGTGTTGGACGATGGGTTTGAGTTGCAGTGGGAGGAAGGCAGTCGAAAAATGTAATGAAATTATGAGAATCGATACCCGGACCCCGCCACCGGGATCACACGACTTTACGCTCTCGGCCACCACAGCCCGTGATGTGAATGCGGCGTGAGGTGGGTTCTTGAAGCAACAGGATTCGACCGACCCGGTCAAAATTTCACAAGAAGTTGGGGGAGTCGAACCGCCGACTCAAGCACTGGGAACCGACGCCTCTACTCCTTGGACCACCACGTCCCATGCTCGGAGTGGGCTCACGTTCACGGGTTTAAATCGCACTTGGTGAGGCAGTAAAATTCAATGGAAATATTTGTTAGGAGTCGAAACCTCCGGCATGTGGGCCTGTTGCACACGGCTCCGCTCTGATGGCCTCGAACCACACCCCTTAGGATAGCAAGTCGAAAAAACTTTTGTGACGCTGGTATTCGAACGCCGGCCTGCGGTAACTCGATCCCACGTCTCCAACTTCTCGGCTATCACAGCAGTTGTGAAACGCGACGGATCATCTGCTTTCATTAACGTTCGTTGAAGGAGATTTTTTTCAGAACTTTCTGACCGTGCAGTGGAAACTTGAGAGTGCATAGCGATCTTCCTGAGTATACATCTTCAAACGACGCCCGAGCTACAAGTGGCCATGTGCCAGCTGAGCCATGTGCAGAGCAAGCGGTTACGGTTGAAATCTTTCTGTTTTTTTGCAGGAGATTGTTTCCTCTGTGGTTTTTTCCTGGAAAGGGAAAGATTGGGATCGCCATAACGCGGACCCTGTCGGCCCTGTCGGCCCTGTCGGCGCGCGGTGGCCGAGCGGGGCGCCGTGCGGGCAGGCCGCCCGCCGGACACAGCCGCAGTGAGGCCGCGGGGCTGCCTACCCATCAGGCGCTCCCCGGGGCCACACTCCACGGGGCTCACCGGGCCGGGCCGGCCGGGCCCACGGGCCCACCCCGCGCTTCAGCGCGTTTCCCGCAAATGACTTTGGCCGCAGCTGGCCGCGCCGCACCACGCCACGCCACGCCGCGCCACGCCACGCCCGAAGCCCCGCCAGGTAAATACCGCCACTCCAATCGGCCAAACCGTCGGCAGCGCTGCAAAATGAAGCGGACGCTCGCGAGCCGCCCTGAATTTCAATGCACGATGCACCTGGTGGGCAGCCCGGCGCGGCGCGGCACGGCGTAGGTGTGTGGGCGTGTGTGGTGGGGCGCCCCTCAAGGCTGCTTGGGTGGGGCCTGGTGGGCCCGCCTGGTGGGGCCTGCCTGGTGGGCCCCGGTGGGGGCTTGCTGGGACTCCAGGCCTGGGGGGTGGCGGTGGTGGTGGGGATGGCGGCGGGCGGGGCGCGGCGAGGCGCGCCCAGTCCAGGCAGCCAGTTCAGTCAGCCCTGTGTTCGGCTCGGCGCGGCTGGGCTGGGCGGGCTAGGCTGGGCAAGGAGGGCTTCATGGCGTGCTGCCCTCCGCGCCGCCGCAGCCTTCGCGCCGGGAACGTGAGCGTGCCGAGCGAGTGAGTGAAGCGCGTCGCCGAGTGTGTGTGGCACGCAGTGCCGAGCAGTGCCGAGGGCCCCGCAGGCCTGGCCCGGCCCTGGCCGATGTGCTGATGATGCTTGCCGGCCCCGAGGCCGCACCGGGCCGGAGCCATGAGGAGCAGCAGCTCCGAGCTGCTCCTCGACCAGCAGGCGGAGCTCCGCAAGAAGAAGCTCCTCGAGCTCGCCAAGCCGCGGCGCCCCGTCAAGGTGAAGCGGACCTGGCGGCAGCGCGTGTGGTTCTACGCCACGGCCGTGCTCGCGCTCACCGCCATGTCGGCCGGCTCCTCCCTGCTGTTCCTCGTGCCGCTGTACGTGGACCCGGCCATCTCCACGCTCACGCACCACTTCGTGGACGTGCCGGTCACGTGCGTGACGACGCGCCGCGAGGACCTGACCGGCATCTTCAACTGCACGTGGAGCTCGTGCCGCGAGGGCTGCACGTCCGACATGTACAAGTGCACCCACATCTACGTGTCGTATACGACGGCGCCGTACGAGCAGCCCAACGCCACGACCCTCTGGCCGCCGTCGCCGTCCTGGCCGCCGTCGACCACCAGCGCCGCCGCGACCGGCGCGCCCGTCGCCAGCAGCGTCACGCCATCGCCGACGCCGCCGCCGTCCACCACCTGGCCGAGGGTGTCCGCGACCTCAGCCTCGGCGCCGCCGTTAACGCCGTCGCCGGCGCCGCGGCACCGTCGCTGGGGGGCGCGGCCCATCACCACGACCACGCCGCCGCCCCCCACCACGCCGCCGCCGCCCACGCCGCCCGAGGAGAGCAACTTCACGGAGGAGGCCGTGCTGCTGGTCAACATCAAGGGCTGCGGCTACCCGCCCGACGTCACGTGCGGCAACTTCTCCGAGGCGTTCGGCTACGAGGGCGCCTCGTTCCCCTGCTACTACTCGCGCGTCAACCGGTCCGTGGTGCTGTCGCACTACGCGCGGGACGACCAGGTGGCCGTCATCGTGCACTACTTCGCCATCCCGTTCGTGCTGACAGTGGTGACCGCCGTGATCCTGTGCGTGATGCACTGCCGCTGCGAAGACGACGGCACGCGTCGGCACCACCATCACCATCACCACCACATGGGGCTGCCGGACAACAGGTACACACGCAGTGCGCGGCCGGCGCGGCCCTCACAGCAAGAAGCCAAACAAGCCGCCTCCCTTGTCTCCCCCTTCCACCGCCCCTTGGGCCCCTCCCTCGCGGAGACCCTAATTGCGGTGTTAGACCAGACCGATTGTGCCCACACTGTGCCGCTGCCGCGCGCCGCCGGCGGCTCGAAAATGCAACCCGGGGGGCGTCGGCGGCCCGGAGCCCGAAACGTGATTTAGGGGAGGGCGCGCGCTCTGAATTAGCCCCGTTGGGGAGTCGCGCCGCCTGCCGGCAGCATGCTGGGGCCCTCGTGCGCTCGTGGGCACTGGAGACCCTGTAGGCCCTGTGGACCCTGTGGCTCTCGGTGGGCCTGTAGCCCTGCGCCCTGTCGGGATAGTGGGTGCTGGGGGGCCGTGGGCTCTTCTGCAGACTTGGGCCATATGTGCCCGTGTCAGTGCGTTGCCACAGTACATTGTCGCGTAAATCGCCGTACTGCGTAGTTCCTCTAGACCAAGTGGGCCCTTGGGCTCTGTAGTAAGCCTCCCAGTGGGCGTCCCTGTGGGCGTCCCTGTGGGCGTCCCTGTAGGCCTTCAGGCCCGTGGGCACCGGTGGAGTCCGCGAGGCGGCGCGGGGCGCGGCCGACCATTCAGACCGAGATTCAGACCCTGCCGGCCGCGCTGCCGCTTGGCTGGCCACGTGTTATGCTCCTCTTTGTTTGCGCCGTGTTGTTTCTGCACTGATTGCGGCGCTGGAAGGTTGGGTGGCTGGAAGGCTGTGGAAGCTGGAGGGCTGTGCTCTGGAAGGCTGTGCTCTGGAAGGCTGTGCTCTGGAAGGCTGTGCTCTGGAAGGCTGCGCTCTGGAAGGCTGTGCTCTGGAAGGCTGCGCTCTGGAAGGCTGCGCTCTGGAAGGCTGTGCTCTGGAAGGCTGCGCTCTGGAAGGCTGTGCTCTGGAAGGCTGCGCTCTGGAAGGCTGCGCTCTGGAAGGCTGTGCTCTGGAAGGCTGCGCTCTGGAAGGCTGCGCTCTGGAAGGCTGCGCTCTGGAAGGCCGTGTCTGGAAGGTGGAACGCCGGAACCAGGCCACTCGTTTTATTGGCCGCTCGCTGCAATTACGCTTTGTCTGCCTTGTCCCGGCACGTCTTGCGGAACGGTCCAAGTGTGAAATTTCGTTAGGCTGCTGCCGGAGCGGCCCGGAGCACAGCGGCGCCAGTGGCCGTTCTGGAAGTGGGTTGCAGCGGGTCGCTCTGTCTCTCTCGCCGTCACGGGGCGTCCCCTGTAGGTGCGAGAAAGACAGAGCAACGGCAGCGTGGTGCCCTTCACCGCGACGCCCTCCTCGTCACGTAATTTGCGAACGGGGGCCGGGGACGCTGGTGGGGCTGGCGGGGCTGGCGACGTGTGCATCGTCACCCCGAGGGGCCCGGAGGCTTGCCCGGAGGGCCCGCAACAAGGCAGTGGGGGCCGCTTGAGTTATGACTTGACGCCGCTCGGTACCCACGGCCGGGGGTGGGGTGGGCTGGGGCGGGGTGTGGCGGGGGCGTACCTGCTGCCAAGAAAGTCGCGCCCGTCGCCACGAGTTGTTGAAGTTTATTTGGGGCCGCGATGTCGCCGCCCCGCTTCTTGCCCGCGACGCGTTCACTTCGCACCGCGCCGCTCTAGAGTGCGAGGGGAGCACGGCACTGCAAGAAATAAAATGGTTAATCGAGGAAGGGACGGACCTCTGGAGAAAAGTTGCCAGCCCGTCGAATACTGACGAGGATTTTTGCAAATTTAGACTATTGGTAAATTTACAAAGATTGCTTCGTGAATTCACTATTGTTTCGTTGTAAATTACCAAGAATCTTCGTGAACTTACAAAAGCTCTTCCGGCGACATTTTTCCACTTTCCATTTTTTTCGTACATTCCAAGCGCGGATCCAGGGGGGGGGGGCAAATGGACAATCGCTGACTCCGCATCAGCTTATGCGGAATTGACCACATTTGTTATCTCAGTGTAGCCGCCTGAAAGGTAGGCAAAAAGCACCAATTTGCCCCTGTAAGTAAGCAAAAAGTGCTACTTTGCCCCCCCCCCTGGGCCGACTCTGGATCCGCCACTGGTACATTCCTGACATTTACTGGTGCAGTGGGGGCGCGGGGCACGGCCAGGCTGCGCGCTGCGCGTGAGTGCGCCCCTTCCGGCGCGGCCTTGAAGGCCTTGAAGGCCCGGCCGCCGTGGCCGCCACGCGATCGGCGCGGCAGTGCGACAGTGCCGCGACAGTGCCGTGGCAGTGCCAACACTGCAAGGGACCCTCTCTTCCGCTCGGGACCCGTCGGTCCTTCGGGGCGGCGAATTTCGGAAGCGGAGCCCCGGAAGTGGAAAAACGGGCCATGAATATATCGCGTCCACTGGCCCAGCAAATTGGCCCAAACGGTTTCCCCCGCCTTGCCGCGCGCGGCGCCAACAGGAGCTCTGACCAAACCCTCGTTCCGAACGTGGCAGCCGGCCTGCGTCTGGTGCGGATCGTTTCAGACGACGCTGTCGCAAACCTGACATCTGTTTTCGATTTTGAGTGGCACCGACTCGGCAACGGAGAGTCTCGAAAACGGAATCGTGCGACTCGAAATTCGACATTTTTGTTCACCACGCGAGCCGCGGGGCGACTGCCCGCGACAGCCCGCGACAGCCTCTGGGCGGCGTCCACGAGACCGCGCCTCTCTCTGTCTCTCTCGCACCCGCAGCAACACGGCGCCCTTGGTGCCCTTGTCGGTGTTCATTAAGGGCGGGCCATCTGCGATACAATGCATTAACTTGGCCCGCTTTGTCGACTGCTGTCCCGGGGCGGGGCGGGGTGGGGCGGAGCGGGGCGGGGCGGGGCGAGCGGGTGTCGCGGAAGGGCCGCGCAGGCTGGGCCAGGGGAGGGGGCCCCGCTGGGCCCCGCTGGGCCGTTGGAGTGGGCGGGCGGAGGGCACTAAGGGGCTGTCAAACAGATTGGGGCGAGTGAGGCGACGACGGCGGCGTGGCGTCGCGCGGGTCTGAGGAGGTCGCTGTGGCGGTCCTGAAACGGTCAGAAAGGGTTCCGCTAACAACGGCAGCTCTTTTCCTGCCGCTCCCCGCCCCGCCCCGCCCCGCCCCGCCCCGCTCCGCCCCGCCCCGCCCCGCCCCGCCCCGCCCCGCCCCGCCTTGCTCTGTCGGCTCTTGGCCTCCGGCCGTCCGGACCACGTCCACCACAAGGAAAACAATCGACAAACGATTTTCTTTTTCCCCCGGCGCTTTTTTGTTGTTTTTTTGGCCTCCGAGGTTGTTAGTGGTCTTGAAGCGGTCGGGCCTGCGTCACCCTGCCCCTCAATCATGCGGGAAGTGAAGGGTCAGCAAGCGGACGGCAGACAGCGGGCAGGGCCTGCCCCCAGGCCAGTGGCGGATCCGGGGTCGGCCTTTGGGGAGGGGCGGCACTTCTCTAGGAGACGTATGCCCCTTTGCCTACCTTTTACGCGATCGTCTAGCTTCAGCAGCCCCCTCGCCCCTTCTCCTCCAACTCCCTGTGTCCGCACCTGCATGCCCTGCGAACAGCTTTCAATGACAGCGACCAGCAAGTTTGCCGCCAAAAAAGGAAAGCCCCTCTTGGAACGTCTTTTTCGTGGAGCATTTGCTGGCCTGACTTGGTGAGGATGAGGCCTCGGACTGCAGCTCCGCGATGACCTTTCCCCGATCGACTTTGGCCCATTTTCCGCTGCCGCTGCTCCGGCCAAGGCTGGGGCGGCGGGGCGCGGTGGGGCGAAGAGGAAGAGGGATGGACTGGAGGATTGGCGCTACCACAAGTCATGCCCTTCTGGCCTCCCCACAGCGCCGCCTTTCGAACCGCCAAAACAAACGCCAGAAAAAGGAGGAAAGATGGCAATGCTTACGCATCGCACACAACACAGACCGTCATCTTCGCGTTTCGTGATGAGAAATTCTGCACAGGATGCCGTTCTCGTTTTTTCTACGAGCACTGGGACGTGAGGAGAGAATGAAACGCGAAAAGACAGAAAATGAAATGTCCCCGTCATCGCCGCCTACCTCGCCGGAGCGAAACGCTTGACTAATTCCCCAGCTATAGCCGAGAAAAGAGAGGAGCCTGGCAGAGCCTGGGGAGAGCGTGGCGGGCCGACTTGGAGAGTCGTCAGGGCACTTTCTTTTACCTAAAGCCAGGCCCATCGCACCGCCCTGCTGTCTCCTCTGCCGCCACCCCGCTCTCTCTCTCTCTCTCTCTCTCTCTCTCTCTCTCTCTCTCTCTCTCTCTCTCTCTCTCTCTCTCTCTCTCTCTCTCTCTCTCTCTCTCTCTCTCCGGTCTCCTCCTCGCAGCTCGCTCGCAACGGCAACCACATTTCACCAAAACTTTTGCGCGCTGAAAATCCAGCCATCAGCTGAGTAGCAATGCCGGAGTGGGGCAAGGCGAGCGGCGGATCCAGAGGGAGGGGATCCTTGGTGCGAGTGGCAGCGCCTGTGGAGTGGAGAGTTTCGACAATTTGATATTAGCCCTGCCCCTTCCACCGCCCCCTCCCCCCTCTCATCGCGAGGCTTTGTAACTTACTTGGAACGCCCCGCACAGACACACAAGGCGGTGCGGCGTGTCAGCCCCGCAGCCCGGCCGAGCGATGCCGAAGTCGTTTACTCGCTCTGTCTCTGTCGCACCCCCGCGGAACGCCCGTGAGTGCGAGAGAGACACCAAAAGCGACGTTCTGAATCGCTCTGCCGGGCTACCAGACTGATTCCACATCGAGGGGTGAATCACTCAGCGTTCTGGTGTACACATGAGTACATGAGTACGGGTGAGTACACCTTGGTTTACTCATAAAGTTCACAATTTAAAACGTTTTAAGGCTTTATTTAGTGTTTTTAACGGCACTTAACGTCAAATCGGTCGAAAAACTAGAGAATTTCGCCCTTTTTAAACTTGCGAGTACACTGAGTACGGACAAATTTGTACACATGAGTACATTAGTGATTCACCCCTCGTGATTCACCCCTCGTTCCACATCCGCATCGCGTTTGGTGGTC